AGAAGTCGACTTGTGAAAGAGACCTAGGGTACTTGTAAGCCCGGACCTACGGCCTAGAAAACAGTGCGTTAATGTTCGAAATAAGGCAAACAGAGTATTGGGTTTTATATCTAGAAGTGTAAGTAACAAGAGTGCAGAGGTCTTATTGCAACTATATCTTGCGCTAGTCAGGCCGCACCTCGATTATGCGGTTCAGTTCTGGTGCCCCTATTATAGAATGGATATAAATTCACTAGAGTCGGTGCAGCGGAGAATGACAAACATGATTCCGGGACTTAGAAACCTTCCATATCAGGATAGGTTAAAGAAACTTAACTTGCATTCCCTAGAAAGACGAAGAGTGCGGGGAGATATGATAGAAGTATTTAAGTGGGTGAAAGGAATCAATAAAGGGGATATAGATAAAGTTCTTATAATATCCGAGCAGGATAGGACTCGGAGCAACGGAATCAAGTTAGATAAGTTTAGGTTTAGGAGGGAGATAGGAAGAAACTGGTTCACAAATAGGGTGGTGGACGAGTGGAACAAGCTTAGCAACTTTGTAGTAAGTGCGGGAACTCTGGAAAGTTTCAAAAGGAGGCTAGATAGATTCATGGATGATAGAGAGTGGTAGTAACTCTCGACAGGAGCTGCCATGCACAGGCCAACCGGCCTATTGCAGATCCTTATTTTCTTATGTTCTTATATGCCCTTATATACTATATATATATATATATATATATATATATATATATATATATATATATATATATATATATATATATATATATATATATATATATATATATATATATAAGTGTAACCGGTCGGAATTACTGGACTTTAATTCTCACTTGATTAGGGGTTTATTAAATATTATTGGATGGAAATTGCAGTGGAAGCGCCCCTTTGAGAAAAAACCCGAACCAGCACAAAAACACTTAAATTTACTAACAAAAATTAATTCTCCGTGACCCGAGGAAGGATAGCATCTGTGATCGGGATGAATGAGACACTGTAAAATTTAGACACTTCTATTCCCTCCAACACTACAGACACAATCAATAATGGTACACCAACATATGCACACTTCTTAACCTGGCTTAAAACACTACTCTGGGGAATAAAAGTTATACAAGATATTGAAATTATTAGCAACTCAGACAATGTCTCATTAGGCAACAACAAATTCAAAGTATTAAGAAGTGTTGCCTGCACACATGAAATAGGCCTTAAGGGCACTCAACAAAATTATATTACCCCCACAGATGCACACCTCCTAACCTAACTTAAGCACTACTCTGGGGAACAAAGGTTATACCTGAGATCGGAATTATAAAGAAATATTAAATGCATTAAAGGAACTAAATCACAGTATCACTTACAACATAAAGGAGAAACCTCATCTGAAAAACAGTTCCTTCATTCTCTGACATCAATTAGTGACACAAACATTAAAAAACAATACTATCAAAATTATTTAAGAAATATTAACTACACACAGCAAGACAATATGAGTCACTGAGAAAATATTATTACTATTTTAAGAGGTTATTGATTCCACCAATACCAGTAAACCAGGCTTATTAACCTAACCCATAGATTCCACATGCACTCCGTAGTTTTTTAAGGCACAACCAACCGGCACCTTTAGTTAAGGCACAAACAAGCCTTTTCTCCACCTTGGAAAATGTACCTCTAAGTTCCACTAGACTCTTGGCCTCAGTGTGTGATCATTCATTCACTCAGCTGGCCTCATTTTACACTCAGTACATCCATGAGCGGGAGGGAGTGAGCAACTACGACCTTGTTCAATTGAGAGAAGCTTTAGCTTCCCGTTAGTAAAAGGTTTTCACTAAAATGCTTGAAGATATGTGATATTGTGAGCCGAGGACCCCAGACAGCTGGTTTCACTCCACTCTCACCATACTCAACAGCGTGGCTCAAACTCAGATCAGTGGACGTTCATACAGCTCGTGTGGGGACGCTTCATACCGCCCGCTTCACCCCTTGCCTGATACCGCCCGCTTCACCGCTCGTGTGAGGTCTATAGAGTCCCTGTAAAACCCTCTGTTCGCTATTGTACTCACTCACTGTTTATTTCTACAGCCCTATCTAAGCTCTGAGAGATTGAATAAAACTTACTTGTTAATACTGATGTTGAATAAACGAAGGAAACCAGTTCACATGGACGTCCCTCCTGGTTACAGCTCAGAGATGGTCCTGCTAGCTTGACCTCTCTCCCAACTCCTCAAGCCATGCCTTCTCACCCGTCCATGCTTTCAAGGAGTGACTTATTTACCAGACGATTAACAGCTTAATTAGGACATACGCAACATTTTCAGACTGGGAAACAATCTATGATTACTTTTAATTTAAGAACTGATATTTAATGTCATAAGTCGCATCCATATTAATTCGATAAATTAAATTTAATATCGTATAGGCCTAGTTCCAGAAACTCTCACTACGTCCGGGAGCGCTGTCTTCCCTCAGACGACCTTGAAAACAACATTAATATTTAGAAGCTTGAGGGACCGAACTAATGGGACAAATTCATTACGAATATTAATGTTGTTTTCAAGTATGACTCAACCATTACCAATATGTTAATAAGGAATAGCCCAAGTTTGAATGTAAATGGAAGTGTTTATTGTATTCCATGTAGCAAATGTAATTGTAATTATGTAGGACAAACAGGAAAAACACTGCAGCTCAGAATCAAACAACATAAGTATAATATCAGAACAGCATCTGAAAGCAGTGCCTTGTTTGTTCATGTCAGGAATAATAATCACCCCATTGCTTGGAAAAAAAGCTTAGAAGTATTCAAATCATCTTGTGTCACAGAAAGACTTCTGGTTGAAGCTAGTTTGATTAAGGAATTAAAATCAATAAACCTTAGTGATGGTCAGTTCAAAACTGATAATATGTTACATAAATTTATTTGTCAGTGGCCCAAGGTTAAAAATGCTTTGAAAACCTTTGATCTAGATGAAGGATAGTTATTTAGTGGGTCCCTTATTTGGGACCTGACCTGACTAGTCACATCACACCCCTTCTCTTAAGCTCCTCTACGTGTGTGTTGGTGTGGGGATTAGTGGATGTCATCATTTTGACCTGACCTCATGTTTTTAGGTCACCCTGTATATTTAAGCCTCTCTCTGTCCATGTAATCCAGTTGCCTCTGAAGATGTCTTGAATAAAGACGAAAGCTAAGGTACTCCGTTGTTTCCATTTTCCAGTGTGATTTTATTAAGAATTATCTTATCCACGTTTTCATTGTGGATTTACATGAAATATATATATATATATAATCAACACCTCACCCCGCCAGGATTCGAACTCACGGCCCACGACTGTGAACGGGGAACGCTACCTCTATGCCACCAGGATACTAAAAGCAGTCGTTGACTCTGTTATATTTGACACAAAGCCTGTTCAACGAGCTTATGGCGCCGTGAACCTCTAATGAGGACTACCAGTATCACTGTGAAATATAACAGAGTTTAGGACTGCTTTTAGTATCCTGGTGGTATAGAGGTAGCGTTCCCCGGTCTCAGTCGTGGGCCGTGAGTTCGAATCCTGGCGGGGTGAGGTGTTGATTATATGTAGAAGTCCGCATGCTTTATTGGGCAAATGAAATATATAGATATATATTGTCACAACCTTCACACCCTCTTCTAGGACTCACTGGAGGATGTATAGTCAGCCCATAGGCCCATATCAGAGGAGATTCTGAAATAACAGCTTCTGTTAACAGAGAGATTAAATGTTAAACACAGACCCTGACCTTATTTCTGGCTAACAACCTCCTGACATCTGACAGGTGTTTATATTAATACCACAGTTCCCATTAAAACTGGTTTAATCAAATCACAGCCTTAAAATTACAACAAAATATATTTAATATGTGCTCTCCATCCAGGTGCATACAAAAGGCCACAAATCAATTCACTCAGAATAATGTTATCTCCACCAACTACAATGCTCTCTCACTACTACGATACTCTTTAGACAATACTGAACATATTACACTTTAGTTAACACCATAAATATCCATGATTGCCCAGATAATAATAGATAAATGTGCACCACACAAGCTTGGCCCTCCTATCCTCCTGAACCTAGCTACCGAGTGCCACCAAAACCAAAACAATATTCCAATATTTTCTTGTTTCATCAACACATTTCTAATTCATTTTATACTTCCCACCTGCTTCTTACAGTTTTTAATAGCTAAAAAAAATAAGAATATATTCTACAAAGTTTACATAATGAAACAAATACTAGTATACATACTTATATAAAATAATCAAGACTTTTTTTAAGTCTTTACCATAAGCTGGAATTAAGATTCTAAAGAAAAAGCGGAAAACAACATAAACTAAATACAATGGGTAACTGAAACAAATATTGAGGGAAAGGAGAGATGACCGTAACAATATACAGTATATTCTTATTTATACATACATGAAATTTTAATAGTATGTGAACACAACTGTCCAACCAGATTTTGTCGATGAGTCGGGTCTCTCTAATGTATCGTATAGCAACGCGTCGGTGACTTTGTCATTGTCAGCAAGGAGGCTTGTAACAGCACCATTTGCATTATATAAATATTTACCCAAATGAATGACACCAAATTATTCACTAAAGTTATTCAGCAATGATTCAGTAGTTGTTCATGTGATAATTTTAGTTTTTTTACGGGTATTTGCCCACCCGGGCACAGGTCACTAACCCACATCGGGGCTTGGGGGGCGAAAATATAATAATAATAATAATAATAATAATAATAATAATAATAATGATAATGATAATGATAATGATAATAATAATAATAATAATAATAATAATAATAATAATAATAATAATAATAATAATAATAATAATAATAATAATAATAAGAACCATAAGGAATTACAAAAACGAGAAAATAAAAAATGAGAAATAATATATGTATGTTGTGTTGTCAATGGTAAGAGAAACAATTGAGACACTGCAATTGTGTGTAAATGAGACAGAAAGTTAGATCAGCAACCTGGGACTTGGTCACAATTTTTGTGATGCCATATGGTAGCAGGGTCCACCATAGACAACACATTATGCTTCCAACCCTTTTCCTACTTGGTCTTATAGTGATGACGTCCTGATTGTTTCTGTTGTCGAAGAGTGCGCAATAAAACGTTGTCGTTCGAACAGTTTTATGTATATTTAGGTTTGATTACAGGTAAATACGCTACAGCTGGATACCTATGGATTATTCATTTTATAAATATTGTAAGTGGAAAATGTCTTTATTTCTTTCTTAATTTGATGAACTGTAATAATATCCAGTACGCTTAAATATCAGGGAGGAGGAGGAGAGGTTTTGGGTCAGAGATAAGTTTGTTACAAGGGCGCGGGAAGAGTAAGTTTACGAAGCACTGCTCCAGAGCATCGAGTGTCTTGTTCCAATACTTCAGCATAGAGGTCCAAACAGAAATGATTATTGAAAACGGGAATCCCTTCCTTCACTTGAAGAGATCGAGGGAGTTTTCCAATAGTCAAAGTCAATAAATAAATCATAACTTTGTCAAGTTGTTAAAGGAAAAAGACGGTGGTAGAAGATAAAAGGTACACAAAAATCTGACAAAAAAATCGAAATTTTCCTTGAACGATTCTTATTGTCTTCACCAAAAATTAAAATTCGTATTTTATTTTTTTCCTGTAAATTAATAACAAGCAAACATAGGAACGCACTCTAGTTGGTCATCTTTAAACCATTTTTTCTAAATTAAATAAAGGTTTTCTGATAGTATATATTGAAGGTAACTGAGGAAAACAAGTTAGTGAGTGTGTGTGAGTGTGCGTGTGTGTGCCACACACACAGGGTGGTGAAATGCGTCTCGTGTGGCAGTATAATGTTAGTGCTAAGGTGCAAGTGCTGCTTGCTCCCTCTCGCTTTCAGCTGCTGCCGCTGGCTAGCCCTCGTGGCGAACTGGGAAGCAAATTGCTAAGTGTTCCCCTGCCGGTATCGGGGTCTCCTCACCATCACGACTCCTGCTATGCCTCCTCGTGGCACCACACGGTAACTGGGTGCCTCGTGGACCCAGGCTAGACCAGCAGGGGATCTTGGAGTAGTAGTGGGCCCTAGAGGGATGGCGCATAGACTCACTACCATCGCCCTATAGTTGATTTGACTGCTTGGTGACTTTTTCCGTTATGTGGATCTAGTTCCTATGTGTTTACTTTGCGTCTGTTTAATGTTTTTTTTTAATCTTTTTTGGTAGTGTTACGATGTATTTGTGTGTAAGTTATTACCGTATGTCGGCGTGGTTATTCTTTAGGGCGTTTGTCTGCATTTGTGAGCGTATAATCATCCATGTTATCAAGAAACAGTTTATCATATAGTTGGTTGGTTGAGTTACCAAGACGCAGTGAATAGTAATGGCAAATCTGTTCCCACAGCAGTTTGTAATCGAGTCTCTTGTCTTATCCAGATCATAAATTCCTGCTTAATATCCTCAAAATTAATAAGTACAAACCGAAAGAACCTCAAAACAGAGCAAAAACAGACTGATAACATATCCAGCGGCCAGCAACACGAACATTCCCTGAAATATAAAACAAAATGGTTTCATTGTTGTCGGTGGTTAAACAATATAGACAATTTGGATTTTTTTGTTCACAATACCTCTTATATTTCCTGAGATTATCTGTTTATCAAAGTCAAGACACGTGCCCAGGGGAAGAGGTAGGCTACACTGTCCCTCGAAATAATTATACGAATTTAATGAAAATAATGGCTAAGACTATCCATGGAAATAAATTTCCTTTCTAGACAACAATAATATTGCTCATGGAAATTTGTGTTTAAATACCCAAAGATTGCTGAGGGTGAGAGAGGTCATGACGGTGATCTTCCTGGGCTCGTGATCACAGATGGTTGACTTTGGTTCATCCATCTTCATCCACTGGACGAACAGTCCAGCCTCAGTCATCGCTTTGATTCTGTGAGATGCATTAGAAAGTGACTACTAATGTCAATATATATATTTTTTTTTTCCAGACCCATATACATTTGCAATGAATGTAAAGGCAATTAAAATGTTATTCAAAGCAATGTAAGCTTTCATTATTAAGAAAGCTTTGCTTAGTGTCTAGGTTTTGCTCTTAAGCTAAATGAAAAGGTTATATAAAAATATTTCCCATACATGTAGTTCACTTGCTCAATGTTTCCATAGAGAAATGCGATTATCATAACGCCAAAGTACTCGAACAGGGAATGAAAGAATGAATATATGACAAAGGTGGGTTATTAATACTTGACACAGCAAACATACATTGTTATACCTTTTACTTATAGAAGAAACCAATGGGTTGTCCTTCTGCCCAATCATAACCATGTCCCCAGGACGCATCGGCTCTTTAGAGATGTAAAAAGTGCAGCTGCCTGTAATGATAAACGGTAAGAAGCAAATAAAAATCAATAAGGTCTTGGGTATTTATATATGTAACATGCGAGAAAGAGACTAAGGAATACTTATGTACATATATTCTGAAGCTCAATTAGGCACCATAACAACGTTATATATATATATATATATATATATATATATATATATATATATATATATATATATATATATATATATATATATATAAATATGTATATTACCTTTGCGTTTAAATTCATCAGCCATATAGATTCTTAAAGACATCAGTACAGCATTAAGGACGTGGTCACCCCGCCTTACCAAGGTGTCAACTAAACGGGGAAATTCTGGGAGAGGAGCGAATAAGATACGTCCTTCTTTATCTAAGTCGGCAACTGTATGATATGTTCCTGATTCAGCTGCCTAAGAGGGAAAATATGTCTTATATCAATAATTGTCTTTAAAGTCTAGTTTATAATGTTTCCCTTTATCCTAGTTCTCTTATAATTGTATTTCATTATAATCAGAAATATGGATAAAATCCTTGGAAAATGGACACAGTTTAAGCTATACATAACGTTAGCGTGGATTCTAATAACAATTCATGAAATTCGATGTAAGATATTTTAACCAATACGTTATACTAAAAAAATATAAATATAATATGTCCATGTTAGTAACTCAGGCCTGCGGATTTTTGCATTGCTATTAAGTTAATTTCAAATCAATCGTGCACTTAGTTTTGCCTTATCATCTTAAATATATTTAATCGTTTAATATCACTTTTAAACTTAACAACAACTTGGATTACTCACATATATATACTGTTTATAGCCGGAACCTTTTACCCATATCATGGTGGCTGATGGATCATCTAAAAAATCTTGACCGGTCTGGTAAGGCTCTGAGATGTGTCTCACGGCCAGGAGGGACATGAGGTTGCCGGCGTAGCTCCGTGTTAACACCAGGGTCATCAACATCCACACCCCCAAAACGATCCGCTCCCACTCCCACCAGTATGAGCGCTCAGAGACGTCTATAAAAGTGGTACAGTTTTATGAGTGTAATTACTCTGCCCTTTCTTAGCAGAATTTGTATACTGCTCGCATAGTAGTAGAGATTAAAGCAAAAGTTTATATTTGCTTAGAAATTTTCTCTCCACTCTCCGTTGTGGTTGGGCATTAATGATAAAGGTTTTCAATTTTCTTAGGGCAAATTCGCCTGTCAGTCTCCACGGAGGCAAAAGTTTGCATTTGCAGGGTAAAAGTTATTTTACAAACTAACATTTACACATAAAATAAATAAACACTCTTATGTTTGGTCATAAAGACACATACACGATAACCAAAATTAAATTTAACTTAACTTGCTGTAATAAAATGCGCAGATAAGCGGAGGTATCCTTGAGCCACCGCTCTTGCCCATTTGATATCTTGAAGAAACAGGAATCCAACAATATCTTTATCACAGGCAGCGCATGAAGTGCTGTAAGGATTGCCACCCACACCCACGGCGCCAGGGGCAGGAGGAAGCCCCAAGGGTCCACCGTGGGTTTTCCTCGAGCACCCAGCAGCCTGTTGTCTTCCACCAACACTGGTGCAGTATAGTCTATCGCCTTAGCGCGGTTCTCATTTAAACCAAAAGGACCAGAAGCGAGATCTGCTTCCTGTAAAGTAAGAAAAGGCTTTATTCCTATAGCACCAAACTTCAATTTCAGTAAAGGTTTTCACTGTACGTAATTGAATGCTCAATTGTTCTTATTTGGAAGATAACAAAAATAGAGGACATTTGGTATTAAAGTTAATACTAAAGAATATGTATATAGAGTTACAGTTTACTGACTTACTTATATGATACCAATAACTGACATTTCAATGAAAGCAGCGTGTTGTGGCTTCAGCTATAATAAACCAGAATGATTCATTTTCATATGCGTTGTAATTCTGGTTTTATTTAACGGATATGGCCACTACAAAAAGAGAATAGGTACTGCTACTACTGCTACTACTACTACTACTTTTTTTTTTTAAAGTGGCCTCCAGCCTCCCCAATAGCCACACCTTCGCCGCCATTTTAATACATTAATATTAAATATCCTAATACATAAGTAGCTATCCTAGCTGTGTTGAGACAGTTGAGCCGCAGATCTATGCGGCATTCAGTGACTGTAGCCTCATAGTCAATATTTGCAGCTGTTGGCGGCTTTGGGGCCTAAGCTCTCGTTCCCCTGAGGCAGAGCAAAGCCGACCGAAGGAGAGAGAAGGACAGTCGACATCTCATCCAGGCTCTAACAAACTTCTCGGCTGCTTCTGTTCGGAGATCAACTCCGCGAGTCGGGCGTAGAAACATCTTGCACTTGGTCCCATCCCACCAGAGGTTGTGAACACTAGAGGAGTGAAGCTGCCCTAATCAACGTTCTGAATTCTCTCCTCATATGTCCTTATCTTGTCGTTCTCGTTCCTCCTATGTGCAGCATCGAGAGCTAGATTACGGTGACATGCGGCCATAGGATCAAAAATCCTGATGTCGAAGAAAGCTCGCTGTCCCCGGGTCCAGAATCCTCGAGCACTGACGCCAACACGGACTTCTTTAGATGTGTTTGAAGTCCTAAGTTGGAAGAGACACCATCCAATGGAAGGAGGGTCGGTTCTACCATGACTACTACTACTACTTTTTTTTTTTTTATTGGCCTCTAGCCTCCCCCAATAGCCACACCTTCGCCACCATTTAATTACCTTAATATTAAATATCCTAATACATAAGTTGCTATCCTATCTGTGTTAAATTAGTTGAGCCGCAGATCTATGCGGCATTCAGTGACAGTAGCCTCATAGTCAATATCTGCAGCATTTGTCGGAGTTGGGGCAGGAGCTCTCGTTCCCCTAAGGAAGAGCAAAGCCGACCGAAGGAGAGAGAAAGACAGTCGACATCTCATCCAGGCTGTAACATAACTTCTGGGCTGCTGCTTCTGTTCGGAGATCACCTCCGCGAGTCGGGCGTAGAAACATCTTGCACTTGGTCCCATCCCACCAGAGGTTGTGAACACTAGAGGAGTGAAACTGCCTTGATCAACGTTTTGAATTCTCTCCCCATATGCCCTTCTCTTGTCGTTCTCGTTCCTCCTGTGTGCAGCATCGAGAGCTAGGTTACGGTGACATGCGGCCATGGGATCAAAAATCCTGATTTCCAAGAAAGCTCGCTGTCCCCTGGCTTCTTTAGATGTGTTTGAAGTCCTAAGTTGGAAGATCTCACCATCACCTGGAAGGAGGGTCGGTTGGCCTCCAGCCTCCCCCAATAGCCACACCTTCATTTATTTACCTTAATATTAAATATCCTAATACATCTATCCTATCTGTGTTAAATTAGTTGAGCCGCAGATCCATGCGGGTCGGTTCTACCATGACTACTACTACTACTACTACTACTACTACTACTAATAATAATAAATAATAATAATAATAATAATAAATAATAATAATAATAATAACAACAACAACAACAACAATAATAATAATAATAATAATAATAATAATAATAACTATTATCGCAGCTGGCTTATTATGCTGGTGTCAGTTGCTGGCATACGCTGCCTTGCCCGGACAAATTTTGGATCTCTCAGCCTGCGACACACCCCAGACGGCCTGTTACCTCGCCAGATGTGGTAGCTGGGGGGCGCGGTGTTTACGGAGAAGAGGTCCTGATTCTGCTAAATGTATGGTTTAAAGGGTGGCGTGGCTGCCTGGACTCCAGGAGATCGCCCTCTCCAGTGATGCTGTAAGGACCAGCTGTCTGCTCGCACTCGTGAACACCGACTCACAATCCTGTCCAAGAATTTCTGCTGACACAATTTACACAGTACTGTTGTCTCTTGGAACACTATACTGATCTGCATTGACCCGCACTTGTAAGTACAGCTTAAGTGAAGACATACCCCTCGGTACTGAAATATTGTTGACTAATTACGCCAACTCGTTTCTGAGGCTAACTAATTATGTATCAGATGAATCACCATGTAATATTATGAACATCTCCTCTGCAGGCTTTGACCACATCAATAAATACTGAATGCGTCAAAAGACGGGTTTCACTCATTCCCTTCGACTTGCCCGTCACCTGAACGTCCTTAACCAAGGCGTTTAAAATAATAATAATAATAAATAAGTAAGTAAATAGATACGTAAATAAATAACGGCTAATTGAGAGAAAATGGCAGCGAAAAGACTGAAAATATCCAATAAAGAGAGATGATAAGAGTTGCATAAGCCTATAGTGTAATGGGGAGTGGGCCACTTAACTGATAAATACATTCAGTAGAAAAGAGAAGCAACAGGGAGTGAACATACAAATTAACTACAGATGTGGGAGTAGTCTCGTTGGTGTGTGCTTGTGTGTGTGTGTGTGTTTTTGTGTGTGTGTCTGTATTTTGTGTGTGTGTGCATGTGTGTGTGTGTGTGTGTGTGTGTATGTGTGTGTTTGACGACAACGAAATAATTACTTTATCTATGGAATATAAAATGTAAAGGGTTACCTGTACTAAAAAATGGGTGTTTTTACTGTATAAAGTTTTCATCAATGATATAGTTTAGCCACTAAGTAATCTTCTCGGTCTGCATTATCATGTATTTGTTTGTTTGTTTTGTATCCACTTCCTTCTTAACAATAACGCTTTGTTTTTCTATATTTACATGGCAGTTTGAGATTGGTTAGAACGATTTATGACAACACGGTTAAAAACACAGGAGTAACTCAAAGACTGAGACATATATGAGGGGACTATACTGTAAAGTTGAATTAGTGAAGTCTCGTGTTATCACTTTTTATAATGCTTGAAGTTTGGTTATGGATCATGATGATTGGAGTCGTTTTATTAGTGATAATGAGCACAGGGAGTAAACTAACACTGTGTGTGAGTCTGGATATTCATACTAGTTATCTTGGCTCTTTTTTTGCCACATTCCACATTCCATACCGCAACATTTCCCCTACTTTCACTTCCATCCCACCTCCTTATTAAAGGAAATTAACTGAAAGTACACACCTGGCTTGTGATTAAAAGGAAATGATTTATGTTGCCTTATTACACTTACCTTCCTGACTACCATCCCCACCATGCCAGACCAAGACCCGTTCTCATTCAAATGGCCCCATGACCCATCAGGAGGCCGCATGTATGTGTACCTGGAGAGGGAGACACAATTAATGTTTACAATGACTCAAACATCAATTGACGGCCTGATAAGTGATGCTTAGATTTTTTAGATAGGAAAATTTCAAGTGAAGTGTACAGTATGTATTAAGTTAAACAAAAATCTACAGATCCTATAGATATTCTCAAAGCAACACAATTTCCTTTTGAATACCTTCAGTAGCGTAACATATTTCCCTGTTTCTTCTTTCCTCTAATTGAGAGATCAAACAATATCTTCCGCTGTGTAAGTGACAACAAACGAAAAAAAATATATAAAGAAACCGGAAAATATGATCAGGCGACTGTTATATATTCCGGAGTTGCTAAATATATCAGTAAAATGTGATATTCAATTACAACTTAATAAATAAAATAATATGGTCGGGAAGAGTGAAAGTAACGTATGATTTGTTTGTCTCTATTGTTATTTGTCCTATGATTGTGCTATGCTACTCACTTTTTGACACATTGTTAGGGATAGTTTTGCTTATAAGCTTGAATATGTCATTTCAAAGGAAATATACATTAAAACATAACGAAAAAGAGTTTATATTATATTACAAGTAACACTGACTGTACTCCAAATGTTACGGCATTTATCACTGACGAAACTTTTCCTATGTGTGTGGAAACAATACCAGCAAAGTAAATGTTAACTCACGAGAAGTTATGAGCCTTTGCTAGGTAATCCACCAGCATGTTCATAGGACCAGTAACCTTAAACCTCTGTCCCTTTCCTCCCTCACCATCGTTAAAAGATGTTATTTTGTTGATAGGGTTTCTCTCTGTCGCCACCACAAGGTTTGGCCGCAGGAGAAATCTGACAAATGGAATATTAATAGTGTTGTGAATAAAAGGGATACTGCCATACAATGCGAATGACAAGGACGTTCTTAGTTAGAACTACTTAATAAATTGACACGTTTCCACATATAAAAGTGTTATGATACAATTGTTTCGCGATCAATGTAAAATGTGGTGTTAGTGGAAGTTGTTGTCGTATAAGGTTAGGTTGGTGTCTCCACCAATCTAAAGAAAATATAAGAATTATATGATAAAGGTTCTACTATAAGAATATTTTACAGTTGTCTCTCTATATCTATATCTATATCTATATCTATATCTATATCTAGTCCCACCCAGTAGGTCGAGAATTCGAATCCTGGCTGCTGAGGTCGTTGATTATATATATATATATATATATATATATATATATATATATATATATATATATATATATATATATATATATATATATATATATATATATATAATGTTTTTATATCTCACGTGGAAAATTTGTCAGGGTACAATGAGAGATGAGTGGTGAGAGCGAGGCCTCGGTGTGATGTCCAGGAAGCAACTCTCAATGTCTGGGCTCCCCGCGGACTGTACGGTAGGTGCACATAAAGGCTGCAACTACAGTAAATATTTTTAGGAATTTTGTACTTAACACTCGTCACAAATCATCCTACTTTTCTTTAGCCTACAGTTGACTCACAATCACGGTATTAATCTTCTTTTCAAACAATATATAATAGCTTCCTTCATAGTACCTGATATTTCCTTGATCTTTTTCCAATATCAACAACATGGAGTTGGTCATGGAGAGTAACTTGTGTAGGTGGTGGAGCTCGGGGAGGGGCAGGCGGGTGACGACGAGGAGCCTCGTCGGCCACACCAGGAGGCGGCCCTTGAGGGACCACTCAGCGAAGGCGGCGAGGAAGGCTGGGTCGTCGCTCACCACCACCACCGTCACGCACCATGACACCTGCCGCAGCTGTTGACGTCAACATGGTAGAAGTTATGTGAGAATGACCTACCCGCCTCAGTAGTATTGTGAGTGTGACCTACCCGCCTCAGTAGTAATGTGAGAGTGACCTACCCGCCTCAGTAGTAATGTGAGAGTGACCTACCCGCCTCAGTAGTAATGTGAGAGTGACCTACCCGCCTCAGTAGTAATGTGAGTGACCTACCCGCCTCAGTAGTAATGTGAGAGTGACCTACCGCCTCAGTAGTAATGTAGTGACCTATCATTAGTAATGCGAGAGTGACCTACCATAAACCTACCGCCTCAGTAGTAATGTGAGAGTGACCTACCCGCCACAGTAGTAATGTGAGAGTGACCTACCCGCCTCAGTAGTAATGTGAGTGACCGACCCGCCTCAGTAAGAGTGACCTTCCACCATAATGTGAGTGACCTACCCGCCTCAGTAGTAATGTGAGAGTGACCTACCCGCCACAGTAGTTATGTGAGAGTGACCTACCCGCCTCAGTAATCATGTAAGAGTGACCTACCGTCTCAGTAATAATGTGAGAGTGACCTACCCGCCACTGTAGTAATGTGAGTGACCTACCCACCTCAGTAGTAATGTGAGAGTGACCTACCCGCCTCAGTAGTAATGTGAGTGACCTACCCACCTCAGCAGTAAGAAATTGACCTACCCGCCTCAGTAGTAATGTGAGAGTAACCTACCCGCCTCAGTAGTAAGAGAGTGGCCTTCCAACCTCAGTATTAAGAAAGTGACCTACCCGCCTCAGTAGAAAGAAAGTGACCTACCCGCCTCAGTAGTAAGAAAGTGACCTACCCGCCTGAAAGGTAATGTGAAAGTGGCCTTTGGTCCGCCTCTGTAGTATAAAAGTGACCTACCCGCCTCAGTAGTAAGAAAGTGACCTTCCAACCTCAGTATTAAGAAAGTGACCTACCCGCCTCAGTAGTAAGAAAGTGACCTTCCAACCTCAGTGTTAAGAAAGTGACCTTCCAACCTCAGTATTAAGAAAGTGACCTTCCAGCCTCAGTATTAAGAAAGTGACCTACCCGCCTGAAAGGTAATGTGAAAGTGGCCTGCCCGCCTCTGTAGTATAAAAGAGACCTACCCGCCGTGCCTCGTAGATCACTTGAGAAAACTGCGTCTGCTTGATCATTGCATCCTGACCATCCACCTTGAACAATCCCACTCCAGAGGCCCGTATCTGTTCTATGACCTAAAATAAATAATGAAATAACACACGGACAACGATAAACTTTCGATATAAATTTCAAATATAAAGGAAACTCGTGTCAAATTTTGACAGAAATCTATTTTACGATCCACTATAATTAGCTCACTTTGAAGATGGCGTTGGCTGAGGCTCTGCCGTCTGTGAGAAGGAACACAGAACAATGGTGGTTTGGCATCGTTGCTAAAACAGCGTTGATGGCCCTAGTCGCGGGTAACAATATGTTAACATATTCATCTGCAAGCAAAGTGAGTAGTTTGGTAGATATTAATATACTTGCCTACAAATATATATATGCATTCAAAAACCAATATAACTCAAAGAGATGGATAAGTCAGTGAGTCATATAATGTGTATATCATGGTCAATAAAAATGGTCTTACCAGTAGTGGAAGGCAATCGAGTCCCCAATGCTGAGACAGTAGCACACAAGCACAAAAACACTGACTTGAGAGCGGGCACCATCTCTCCCTGAAAAAGAATGCGAAAGCTTTCAGGTGTGAAAAATTTGAATATATATATATATATATATATATATATATATATATATATATATATATATATATATATATATATATATATATATATATATATATTCATAGAGTAGGCAGCCTGAGATCCAATTTTCCTTCTGTGAAGCACCATCTATTAACCTTTTCCCCCGACCTCTTACTACAACCTGAACTTCAACTAACCAAAGCAGCTTTATTCAAGTCTCGAACTACAACCTTTATAACTCTTTCCGTTCTACGGGAGGTGTATGCGCCTACTGCAACACACATACACCTATAGCTCGACTCACGGATCTTGAATCTTCCCTTTATGACGTCATCTGGCTCAAAATATCTCTATCAACTGTGACTATTTTTCTTTGTTTACTGTTCTGTTCTCCCAACTCTACCAACTATTTTGAACTCTTTGACTATCTCACTTCTTGCCATGAGACGTTGATATCCACACACCCTAGCACCCAGATCCTATACCTAGGGGATTTCAATGTACAGCAGAGTGAGTGGCTTGGCTCTGCAAGGGATGACCCAGGTGGGGCTGAGGCACTCTCTTTTTCCCTACTTAATGATTTGGAACAAATAATCAAACACCCTACACGCGTTCCTGATCGACACGATCAACTTGCTAACATTCTTGATCTTTGATTTATCTCTAACCCCTCACACTATTCATTCTCAATATCTGCCCCCTTAGGGTCTTTTGATCACAACCTTATTTCTATTAAATCAAACTGGGCACGACACCTCCCCCACCCTTCTTATAAACGCTAACTATGGCACTATCGAAGGACAACCTGACAATCCTTGCGAGAATTCTTCACCGACTTTCCTTGGGATGAGTGTTGCTTTTGCACTCGGGACGCCTCGGTGTGTGCTGACAGCATTGCTGGGGTTATACAGGGCGGTATGAGTGCATTTATCCCATCTTCTACCAAAACTCTCACTTTACAATCATGGTTTGATCGTTCCTGCTCTTTTGCTTGGAGGGACAGAGCCAGGGCATATCAAGCTATGAAAATATCTCCTTCTCCTATTACCTACTCCTCTTTCATTACTTAAATCGTAGTAAAGCTATTGTTCGTAGGGCCAAGCGGAATTTTATAAAAATAAAGACCACAGCCCTGACTAATTCTTCGTCTAGTAAATCCTTCTGATCCTTAACCAAAAAAATCTGTAACAACTTCTGCACTCCTTCTTTTCCTCCTCTCTTCCGACCTGATAACTCTATAGCCAACTCTCCCCCTGACAAAGCCAATCTCTTTGGCACCTTATTCTCCTCTAACTTCACCTTAGACGATTCCCACTCTATCCCTTCTACCCCTGCTTCTCCCATTGAACCTATGCACTTTCCTATAATCTCCACTCGTAGGGTTGCTGGTGTGTTATCTAGGTTGGATGTGAGTAAGGCGCATTGACCGGACGGAATACCCCTCGTGTTGTGAGGGAGTGTGCTGAAACTCTGGCCCTTGTGCTTTCTCGCTTCTTTCACCTTTGCCTCAAAACCCAAATTTCTCCTTCTTCTTGGAAGCATGCCTTAGTAAAGCCCTTCCCAAAGAAGAGTAACCATTCTAATCCCTCTAACTATCGCCCCATTGCCCTGACTTCATCCCTCTTTAAGATTTTCGAAACTATCTTGAACTCCCATTTTTTCCGTCGCCTTGAACGCCATTCTCTTATGTCGGATCACCAGTATGGCTTTCGCCAGGCGAGATCTACTGGTGATCTGCTCTCCTACTGCACCCATCTTTGGTCATCCTCTCTTAGTGTTTATGGGGAAACTTTCGTGGTGTCCCTCGACATCTCCAAAGCATTTGACGGTATGGCACAAGTCCTTACTTTCCAAACTTCCTCCTTATGGTTTCTCCCTCCCACTTTGTTTTCTAAGCTCGAGCTTCCTCGAGAACCGATCCATGGCAGTTGTTGTCGATGGATCGATCTCTTCACTCTTTCTCTACCAACAGTGGTGCCCCACATTGTTCTGTTCTTTCACCTCCTCTCTTCCTTCTTCTTTCAGTGATTTTCTTCACACTACGACTAATTCTATCCATTATTACGCTGATGAATATACTCTTCACCCTTCTTCACATTTTCCCCTTCCCCTAATTCTCAAACTAGATCTGTTTCTAGAACTGATATCATTTCATCTCCCAATGCGGATCTGTACAGCATCTCCGAATAGGGAGGTAGAAACCTGGTTAATTTCAATGGTAATAAGACTTAGTATTTTCCAATTATACTTTCTAAAATAAAAGATCTTCCACCAATCACATTTCAGGACACAATCATTCTCCCAAATTCTGAAATAGATATACTAGGCCTCACCATTTCCTCTAATATGTCATGGAAGCCACACATCCTCAACATTGCTAAAGCTGCCTCCCGAAAGTTGGGAATGATATACAAATGCCGTAGCTACTTCACTCTTGAGCAGTTGCTTCAAGTATATGAGGGATTCATTCTTTGTAACTTAAAGGAGTACTGCTCTCATATCTGGGGTGGCTCTTCTTCTGTCCAACTGTTAGATAGGGTGGAATCAAAGGCAATTCTTCTTATGAGCTCTCCTTCTTTAGTTGACAATCTTTCTTCCCTCTCTCTTTGCAACAATGTTGCTTCACTCTATCTCTTACAGGTACTTTAACGGGCAATGTTCGGTGGATTTGGCATCCTGTGTACCGCCGGCAAGGCTGTGGGCTCGTAACACACGTTTTACCCACGGTTTCCACCATTTCTCTATGGATGTCGGTCACACCAGAATAACCCGTTATAGTACCTCAATCTTTCCTCACACAGCCAAACAGTGGAATGCTCTGCCTTTTTCCGTGTTTCCATACTCTTCAATGTGTCTCACTTTAAAAGGCTGGTTTTCCGGCATCTTCGTGGTGTAGATTGGTAGAACCTTTTCCTTCTCTATTTGTAATTACTGTCTATTCTTATTTGTTCGCCCCCTGGGCCCCGTTGTGGGTCTTTGACGTGTGCCCGTGTGGGCCAATAAATAAATAAATAAATAAATAAATATATATATATATATATATATATATATATATATATATATATATATATATATCGATAAAATCACACAAAGCTAAGGTGCTCCATTGTTTCCTTTTCCTGCGTGATTTATCGAGATATATCTATCCACGTTTCCATTGTGGATCTATATAATATATATATATATATATATATATATATATATATATATATATATATATATATATATATATATATATATATATATATATATATGTTATACTGTATGTGTGTGTGTGTGTGACCCCGATATTTCTAATTAGAGAAAGAACATTACGCAAAGTGCGATGTTAGAATCTGTTCCCATGAAACTAAAATTATTAATAACACCCATGAACCTGTGGTAGCAAGAGGCACAAGTGTCATGGAATATAGAGCAGGTCTGGCTGCGTGTCTCAGATGTCAGCCAGGATAGATTGTACCATGCCACAGGTACAATATTCATCTCAGAGCTAAGTGACTTTTTTTGTTTTTAAATATTCTAACATAGCTAGACCTCTGGGCCAGGCTTGAGTTCGATTATGGTGTTGTGAGTGACTTAATAAGAGCTGTTAAGAATTATAAATTAGGTAGTGTTAACATTTTCCATTGGAGGACTCGGTAATTTAAATTAAATCTGAAATTTGTGACCCAATGTCTGAGTGTTTCTCAGAGACTATAAATAGTTCATACAGTAATTACTCCGTGAGGAAAAAACCTTAAGAGGTTAAGAAGAATGTTGTTACTTCATTGGAAGCCCCACTGTGCATAAGTGTTTATCGATGTGCATATTGTAATTAATAATGCTCTAGCAATTTAAGATGAAAGTAATTTATTGGGTGAAAATTGCATAAACAGAAAAAAAAATCTTTAAGTGTTGCCATGTGTAAGAGTCTCATATTTTGTAAAATATTGTACAGTGCCTGCTGTAATGCTATAAAGAATTACGGCAGAACATTTATGTTACAGTGACTGTTACGAATGACTGATTCTCAACGAATTTCTTGGCATCACTAAAATTCTGGGAATTCTGACTTATATTTTCCTATATTGAAACATTTTCAGGTGATTATAGTTAACTGAATTATAGAATAATGACTTATTAATGAATTCATGGTGCATTGTTGAAAACCGGGGCGGCACTGTGTAACTTCTTGTTCCTACGAAAAGTTACATTGGATGATCTTCGAGTACCGAGTTACAATTAAGTTTGTGGACTTTAGTGTAACTACACAGGTAAAGGTTAATGTAAAGTCTATTAACATTCATGATTTTTTGTGGGGGGGGGGGGGAATCTACAGAGTTGTACTGTAATTTGTAAGCTGTGTCTACTCTTTGTATTTTGTTTAATTTAGTTAAGATAATAGTTTTTATTCAATTTTGTGTTTTCTTGTGTAATACTACAAAGATGAGTTGCAAGGTTGTAAAGTTTTTTTATATTTAATGCATGGAAGTAGTAAACAGAACCTTATTTTGTTTAAAGTTTAATCTAAATAATAATTGGTATTCATTTAATGTTGTTTCTATGAATACCCATACTTGTTATAGTAAGCCTCATCTTACAACTCTCTAATTTTTAATATTTGTCTTCTTATTCTCTCTGTGTGGCTTTGAGAGGCCGCTTCCATTGTGCTATACAGAAGTAATAATATCGTTTTTATTGTGCCAATTTCTTTTTAATTTTAAGAATTTCTTCCTTATAATTTAGTTTATTTAATCTAACCCAGAAACACACATTATATATATATATATATATATATATATATATATATATATATATATATATATATATATATTGTATATATATATATATCATCAGTTCATAGATCGCGCGGACTTCCATATGCAAACATTACCTCACCAGTCGGGAATCGAACACTGGACCTCTTCGTTTGAACAGGGATCGTTACATCCGCGCCACAAAAACAACAAGAGCAATCCTAGGCTTTGTTATATTCCACACAAAACCTGTTCATCGTGCTTGTTAAGCGCCGTGAGCCTCCTTTGGGGATTGCCCGTGCCCACTGTGTGGTCGGAGTAGCATTTTACCGATTCCAGCTAGGAAACACGAGGCTCTCTCTCTCTCTCTCTCTCTCTCTCTCTCTCTCTCTCTCTCTCTCTCTCTCTCTCTCTCTATATATATATATATATATATATATATATATATATATATATATATATATATATCAACTGTCCAAATAGCACGCGGACCTCAACATTCAAATGTGTGTGTTTGCTGGTTTAGATTAAATAAAATAAAATAAATTCTAAGGAAGAAATTCCTAAAAAAAGGCAAAGTAAAAACAATATTATTAATTTGTTAGAGTACAATGGAAGCGGTCTTGAGCATGTGTTGGGGGATCGAATCCAAACCAATACGAATGGTAGACAGGAAGCTGTGTAGATTATGGATTCTGATATTTTCTAATGTTTTTGCTCTATGGTTAAATATACTGTACATAAAGGTTAATAATTAATAACTCAATGGTTTGTTGTTCAATGTATTTTTTTTCCAATGCACAGTACTTAGTGGTCTATTTATCTGATTCTCTTAGTGTCCATAAATGATTACCCTGATTAAAACATAAGAGCATACTGTCGTTGGGGTAATCATTTGTGGACACCCTGTATTTTTTTCGATGTTTTTTTCTTTCTTTTTAGATCTGATGATGACGAGAAATTTATCGAAACATTACTAAATAAATGTTGCTGTTTATCCATACGTTGGTACTGTTTTCATCCTTCGTGTATGCTCTTGAAATTCTTATATTTTCATCTCTCGAAAAAAGTAAGACGCTACATAATAGAGCTTTCCTTCTGCTGTTGCTTCAGTTATTAGTTCCTTATATTATACTCTGCTGTTCTTTCTAATTGCGTAAAGAAGTAGGGAAAGTTGAATGAGCAAATATAGATATTCATCGTAAGAAAATAAGCCATAATCCGGTTTTCGCTGAGGGATGACATAAGGCGTCACCCTCCTCCAGTATGCTACTTGAGGAGTGTTAGTAGTATAGACTGGGATCGCTGGAAACATCTGGGTGCGGACAGGAACAGCCACGGAATCCATTGTCTTATTATTTTTCCATTTTCTCCATTCATTATGTTTTTTGCCGAGATTCCCTTCCTTTTGCCACCTGTGAATCCATTTGTAGACGGTAGTGGTAGTGGTGCTGTTGTTCTGGGCTATGGTGCGGACCGATGCGCCCGCAGCCCACATGCTGACAAATCTCGCGCGTTCACTCAGTGTTGTCTGTGAGAATCTACGTCTCCTCTCCATGATATTCTTCTGTAAACATCGAGTAAACATTTATCAGGAATTATTATTGCATAATAATTATCTACGGATTTGCAATATAAACAAAAAAATATATATATTAAGTGACGTTAAACTTTGTCAACGGCCTAATTCTCTTAAGCAAAGCAGAGACTGTTTTATCTTTAATAAGATTAGATTAATGAAAATCATTCTCTATATATGATGCAAAACTTTTTCAAAGGCCCAAGAAAAAATGATGACCATAAGTCTATTTAACAAAGGAGATTTAAACTGAGTGGAATAATCTTAAGGTTTTGTTTTCCTTATCGATAAGAATTTTTACTGATTTAGGAACTTCATAACTGATTTTCATCACCTAATCATTGACGGGTTGAGATCGAAAACTTTAGTTTTCTGTTGACAAAGAAAACCTAAGTGACAACTGTGCATTTTAATTCTTGTTAATTGTATACATTATAGCAAAAATTTAATTAATGAAAAAACTTTTATGGGTGAACAATTGGTTGTTTAAATATACTGATTGTTCCGTTTAATAGTAATGCCTTTAATATAAGATGAAATTAATGAAGATCATACAAAGTCTTTCGTGAGATGAACAAATATTAAAACGACGAATAGTTTCCGCCATTTAAATAATAAAAGCGGTGATTAAAAGCCGACGAAAGACAACAAGGTAGCGAATGAAAATAATGTTAGTTGTGATATTATTTTGTCATTCTGAGCTCAGCTGGCGAATCATAACACTATGTTCTTTGCCACATAATTCATAAAACCTGATCACTGTGTAACTTACATTTCATAGTTTGCGTTAATCCGTAATAGTTCATCACAATATGTTACTGAAAATTCAACAATATGCTGCACATTCCTCTCAACGGTGGACTAAGATAACTTGGTGTCATAATATCTTATCAGGTAATTCAGAGAATCACTTACTTGCACTGATGACTGTTTACATGACTCTCACAATTTCAGATTATCGTCATATAAACATACGACAAACCATTAAATAAGAAAAAATCAATAAAAATATCTATGTCAACCAATAAAGAGTTCACTGACATAACACTGAGTAGACGCAGTTCCTTTTGTATAAAGTTATACTTATAAATATACAGTAGTTTTCAGTAACATTAACTGACTTACGGTAATGGAGAACAGCAGTAGATGTTGACAGCAGAAGGTGCTGCAAAGGAATAGGTCAAGCGTGCCAATGAGGAGGGAATTTATTGGAACACGCATGCACGGCTCAACACATCTGATTGGTGGCCGCGTAAGACATACACCTGTACCAGGTTTTTATTATATTTTAGGCAATATTATTGTTTTCTTTTTGTCAAACGTGGCAAGAACAATGTTTAACGGTCTTCTGGATAACCTGATATTGAGCGACATTGCAGAATTAAGAAACTAAAAGAAATCTTCCCTTGTAATAGCACCTTTGCTTTACCTTCTGTATATAAATATTCACCCAAATGAATAATCGTCAACTTATTCACCAAGTTATTCAACACTGATTCAACTGTTGATGATTTTTCACGGCTGAGCTTGTAAGTGACACAGAGGTCCGGCGCAGGTTAATGCTGAATATGTCAACAGTTTGATCGCTCCCACACCTGACTTTCGCCGCTATCAGTATCACATTCTGGTGACGAGTCCATGAATCAAAACATTTCTCGCACTGTCATATCCAATTCCGACAAGGCTCTCTCCTCAAACACATGTTTGAAGGACACGCTCGGAGATATATCAGAGCATTACCACTTGTTCAAGGGTGAACACGTAACTTAAGTGTTCTATAAAAATGTATTCATAACACTTCCCTGGAGAAAATTCACAATACATTCTCTCATACCTAAGTACTGTGTATATAGACGCTTCGACAATAAAGGAAAAACCCGAAGAAGTGTTTACATCCAGCCCTGCCACTTATAATTCCAGAACTTATTTAAAACAATTAAATGTGATACAAAAACCGCTATCACACCCTCACGTCTTGAAACAAGCGCGGTGTTGACACCTTAAACCCACGTACCGATGTACAAGAACTTAACTTGAATTTTGTCAAGATTATAAACATGTTTAGAGTTTTGTTTTTTTCCACAAATAGCAAGATGAATGTCTCACCTTCTTGTAGATACCTTGATATCGACAAACATTCCAGAATTAAGGAGATACATAATACGAACTCTCTTCAAACAAGTTTTCGTCTAGCCTAATGCATTTATGTTATCATAACGCTTGTGGGCATTTATCCATTTATCACAAGTTTTTTATATCCGAGATATATGTAATATTTGATGTTCTCCTTGGGATTAGAGCTTTACTGGTACACCCGAATATTGCACAAATAACCATAATTGTTGATACACTGGTCCCGGAAGGAGACGCAGGCACACACGGAGGTCACCAGAGTATGTTTGTTTACAGCAGTGACGTCACCGAGTTGTGCAATGTGGGTAAAAAACAAGTGTTTGGTGACAGTACTGCCCTTACTAGTATTTTATCTTTGTTACATACTCACCTCTACCTATTGGCACTGATCACTTTACATTACACTGTTACTGTAGTAGATAAATGAATAGGTTGATTTCTCTCTCTCTCTCTCTCCCTATATATATATATATAAAACAAAGAAGTATGTCTGTGTGTGTTTGTGTGTCCGCACGAGAATCACGGAAACTACTTTACCGATCTCTAGTGATGATGGATGGTGTTATATGTAGTGATGATGGATGGTGTTATATGTAGTGATGATGGATGGTGTTATATGTAGTGATGATGGATGGTGTTATATGTAGTGATGATGGATGGTGTTATATGTAGTGATGATGGATGGTGTTATATGTAGTGATGATGGATGGTGTTATATGTAGTGATGATGGATGATATTATATGTAGTGATGATGGGTGGTGTTATATGTATTGATGATGGATGGTGTTATATGTAGTGATGATGGGTGGTGTTATATGTAGTGATGATGGATGATGTTATATGTAGTGATGATGGGTATTGTTATATGTAGTGATGATGGATGGTGTTATATGTAGTGATGATGGATGATGTTATATGTAGTGATGATGGGTGGTGTTATATGTAGTGATGATGGATGGTGTTATATGTAGTGATGATGGATGGTGTTATATGCAGTGATGATGGATGGTGTTATATGTAGTGATAATTAGACAATAAAATAATAACAGTTTAATGCTAAAAATATATACTTTGCTGTACCGTTGTAGTGGAATTAACATACACCGTTAATGAACTATTGATGGAAGAAGAAGTTTTGGGGAGTGAACAGTGAGACAATATGGAACTTCCCGGAGGGTGGAGTCCTACCGTGGCCGAGCGAATGAGCCGCCCTGACCAAACTTGGCATGAATAGCAGGTGTTATCTTGCTTCTCTCATGGACAGTTCTATGTTGGATGCTCCAGAGTGAGAACTGGCAAAAATCTGTACATACTTGCTGCTGATGGCAAAACCAAAATTGTGGTCTACCTTAATGCACTACAGTGAGACAATGTGGAGCCTCCCGGAGGGTGGCGTCCTACCGTGGCCTAGCGAAAGAAGTATGTCTGTTTGTGTGTGTGTGTGTCTGCACGAGAATCTCGGAAACTACTTTACCGATCTGTAGTGATGATGGATGGTGTTATATATATTGATGATGGATGGTGTTATATGTAGTGATGATGGATGATGTTATATGTAGTGATGATGGATATTGTTGTATGTACTGTAGTGATGATGGGTGGTGTTATATGTAGTGATGATGGATGGTGTTATATGTAGTGATGATGGATGGTGTTGTATGTAGTGATGATGGATGATGTTATATGTAGTGATGATGGATGATGTTATATGTAGTGATGATGGGTGGTGTTAAATGTAGTGATGATTAGACAATAAAATAATAACTGTTTAATGCTAAAAAAATATCCTTTGCTGTACTGTTGTAGTGCAAAACATGGTATAACTTACATACACCGTTAATGAATTATTGATGGAAGAAGGAGTTTTGGGGACTGAACAGTGAGACAATGTGGAGCCTCCCGGAGGGTGGCGTATTAACGTGGCCTAGCGGATGAGTCGCCCGGAGGGCGGCGATTCTGCTATTGTGTGTATATAAATATATATAAATATATATATATATATATAAATATATATATATATATATATATATATATATATATATATATATATATATATATATATATATATATATACTTCATTTTTAGTCCATATAACACGCGGACTTTGAACATATAATCAACGACCTCACCAGCCATTACTCGAACCCTCGACCTACTGTGTGGGATTAGGGAACGCTACCGACCATGCCATGTCTTTGTGGCATGGTCGGTAACGTTCCCTGGTGCCACACAGTAGGTCAAGGGTTCGAGTCCTGGCTGGTGAGATCGTTTGATTTTATATATATATATATATATGCTGATAACCACAAGGAAAGAAGAAAACACGAAATTCCCTGAAGATGTGAATTACACGAAAGCGCTTGGGAACTTCGTGTTTTCTTCTTTCCTTGTGGTTATCATATATATATATATATATATATATATATATATATATATATATATATATATATATATATATATATATATATATATATATATATATATATATATATATGTCAGAGGTTGGAAAAGTTAGTTACAACCAGAGCTGCAGGCAACAGGGGGGCAGAAGATAAAGGACGGCTATGCTGCTAACAGGGTGCCGCAGGTATGAGATGCAGTTAATAGAGCAGATCTCATCTGGGGGAGTTGCCTGCATTTTTTTCTCTCGGCATATGAGGACAGTGCTGTCTTTTTTTGGTGGGGGGATCGATTGTGATATTCAGAAATTTTCATTATGATCTTCAGAGATGTTAGATGACTGATCTAACGAACAGGGAATCATAAGTAAGCGAGGCTGAAACACTCATACCTCGTGGTAGGTCTAAGAACAAAGCCTTCAAGCAACACCCTCAAGCGACCGAGCAGGGGCGTCATGAACTACTGCGCGTCACGTTGGCCTAGGTAAAACTAAATATACTTTATCAAATTACTATTGTTACGAACCACGCCACCAATTGTCATGATCTACCTACCCAGCACTACGAACCACGCCATCTATTGTCCTGATCTACCTACCCAGCACCACGAGCAACGCCATCTAGGGACGAAACCCGAGTATGACTACTCTTAGTTACCACTCCGGGGTTTCCCTTCTCCATATCCTGGTTGTTGCGTCACCTCCACCAAGTCTTCTTTGTCAGCTCGAGTTCGAGGAGAGTTGAGTTCACTCTGGGAAGTGACCACAGGATCACCTATCCTGGAAACCTACGGCACAGTGACTACCTACCGTCTTCTACAATACTCAGCCTTGCTCGTCAGCCATCTCAGCTCCGCACTTAAGTATTTGTAATCTTATATTGCCTCCCCCACGTCCACTTGCTTCAAAATTGTTTATGTTGTATAAATATGTATATACTGTTAATGTTTAGGTTAAGTATGGTTAAGGGTAAATTATAGAAAGCTGAATATTTTGTTAAGGAATTTATGGTACTTTATTATACACAACAAAAACTCTCATCCTTTGTCTACCCTTTTATAGTCCGATTGTCTTTGTTTTTTTTTTTTGTTGCCTGTTGGGATCTGGGTAGACTTTTAACTATATTCTAAATCCCCAACTCTTAACAAATGGCGACCGTGACAGGATCCAACATTAAGTGCCATATTTCTTCCCCCTTGTTACTCCTTGTTAATTATTCCTCCCTGTCACTTCTGTTCACAATTGCTTTACGGTGGTTTAAAGTTCCTTCATATGTGTGTGCATATATTGGTATTATCGTACAGTAAGAGTGACAGACGTAGGATATTAGGTTCCAAGTGTCATAAGGCTTACCTGTTATTACACGTGGCAGTCGTGTAGTAAGTCTTATCGAGTGTAGGGAAGAATCCGGATCTGTTTAATGCCGTACCCTCACTCCAGAGTAGGCTGTTCCATAGTCACTAGTTTAGGGTGAAGTGATATCTTGGGACGCCCCGCTCTACCAGGACCCCATAATTATAAAGCCTCAATTATTGTTCTTCTCATTATCTCATTCGGGGTCAATAATCAAGTAACTCAAGGGTTGTTAATCCGGATCTTATATATTAATGCCGTAATACGCCCTTCCTGTTTACTCAGGGTTGTTAATCCGGATCTTTATATTAATGCCGTAATACGCCCTTCCTGTTTACTCAG